CTGAATTTCAAGAAAGACAAATTTTCTAAATTGCACTCAATTTTACAAAACATTAATGGGATTGAATCCTTGAAATATTGAACATGGAGGAAAAATGGGACATAATAAATAAAGGTATCATCCAGTGTATTCCAATGGGCAACAACTATAAAAGAGCTAAGGTTAAGCCTGTAAGGCAGCTGTACTTAATGTATTCTTCTACTCACAGAATGTACCCTTGTGGCTAACAGAAGCCAGTATTCATAATAGACTGGAAAAACTTAACATAAATAAATCACCAGGACAGGATGGCTTACACTCGAGAGTCCTTAGAGAACATAGCCAGGTTATTACCAGACCGTTATTCCTAATTTTTTCAAACAGCTTAAGGACTGGAATGGTACCAGTTGACTGGAAAAAGGCAAATGTGATACCAACATTTAAAAAAGGACAAATATATAGTCCTGGAAATTTCAAGCCAGTCAGTCTAAAATAAATAGTATGTAAACTATTGGAGGGGATGATAAGAGACTATATTCAAGAGTTTGCACATCATAATAGTAGCATTAGTAATAATTAGAGATGAGCGAATCGAACATGGCGAAGTGGAATTCGTTTCGAAGATTAGGAAAAATTCGATTCGCGCCGAATCCGAAAATTAGCAAACTTCGGATGCACGAATCGAATTTTCCCAAAAATGGCGGCGACATGTGTGGCGACGGAGCGGGGATCTCTGGGAAGGCGCGCAGACAAGGCGCGCTGACCCATAATGCATTCATTCATGACATGTGATCGCATTAGCCAATCAGCAGCCAGCACTGTGTAATGGTGGAGCTATAAATCGCGGCCATCTTAGAATTCTCCATTAGCCTCCGGTCATTCAAGAGAGACAGACCTGTCTGTATTAGGGACAGAGTTAGGGCCACAGAGACTTTAGGGCCACAGAATCGTTACTCAGGGACACAGAATCGTTACTCAGGGACACAGAATCGTTACTCAGGGACACAGAATTGTTACTCAGGGACACAGAATCGTTACTCAGGGACAGATACAGAATTGTTACTCAGGGACACAGAATCGTTACTCAGGGACACAGAATCGTTACTCAGGGACACAGAATCGTTACTCAGGGACACAGAATCGTTACTCGGGGACACAGAATCGTTACTCGGGGACACAGAACAGAATCGTTACTCGGGGACACAGAATCGTTACTCAGGGACACAGAATCGTTACTCAGGGACACAGAATCGTTACTCAGGGACACAGAATCGTTACTCAGGGACACAGAATCGTTACTCAGGGACACAGAATCGTTACTCAGGGGACACAGAATTGTTACTCAGGGACACAGAATTGTTACTCAGGGACACAGAGTCGTTACTCGGGGACACAGAATTGTTACTCAGGGACACAGAATCGTTACTCAGGGACACAGAATCGTTACTCAGGGACACAGAATAATTGTTACTCAGGGACACAGAATCGTTACTCGGGGACACAGAATCGTTACTCAGGGGACACAGAATTGTTACTCGGGGGACACAGAATCGTTACTCAGGGACACAGAATCGTTACTCGGGAACACAGAATCGTTACTCAGGGACACAGAATCGTTACTCAGGGACACAGAATTGTTACTCAGGGACACAGAATCGTTACTGAGGGACACAGAATCGTTACTCGGGGACACAGAATCGTTACTCGGGGACACAGAATCGTTACTCGGGGACACAGAATCGTTACTCGGGACACAGAATCGTTACTCAGGGACACAGAATCGTTACTCTGGGACACAGAATCGTTACTCGGGGACACAGAATTGTTACTCAGGGACACAGAATCGTTACTCGGGGACACAGAATTGTTACTCAGGGACACAGAATCATTACTTTCTGCTTCACAACCACTATTGAATTAAAGAGTATGTCAGACAACACGCAGAGGAGTGGCAGAGGAGGCAATGTTTCAGGAGCGAGCAGACGTGGCAGCAGAGGAAGGGGTCGAGGCAGCACTAGTCGCAGCCAGAGGCCAGTGCTCCCGGTGTCATCCAGCGGTCGTGTCTCCACCGACAACCCTGCCGTCATCGATTGGTTGACTCGGTCGTCTTCCTCTTCCCAGGTCACCTCTGACACCTACAGCCAACGGTCGGTGGGTACGTCAGACACAACCGTTAGTTGGCATGGCCCGGGAGCAAGCCCACTGAAATCATGTGTCCTCTACCTGCCCCTGTCCTTTGGTGTTCCCTCACCAAGCGAAGTATCGCATGCTGTGGGCTCAGCCCCACTGTACAGTGAGGAAGAGCTAACAGAGTGCGGTCAGGAACGGGGGGAGACATCCGCCTCTTCAGCAGCCAGGCGAAGAAGTACTGGCGAGGAGAGTGGCTCGGTAGCCGGTCTAGAGACAGGTCTGTCTCCTGACCCACACGCAGCCGAGGGGGCTAGTAGTGACGCGAAGACCCTAATTGATGATGATGAGGCTGATCGCACTTGGCAGCCTTCGTCGTCATCAGGCTATTGCTTCCGCATCATCAGGAGAAGAGGGTGCCAGCTTGCCAGCGAGCAAAACAGTCGGTGGGTTGCCCAGGAGGCAGCAGGGTCGCAGCAGTGTCAGTGGAGGCAAACGGCCACGGAGTAGAGCACCAGCTCCACTGCAGCCTACCACCACGGCCAGTAGTGGTGCCGGTGTGCACGGAGGAAGTAGCAGTCAGCCAGTGAGGAGTAGCGGGGGCAAAGTTTCCTACTCGGCGGTGTGGCAATTTTTCGTCAAGCCGCCCGAGGAAGTAAACGTAGCCGTATGTCGACTATGTGGCCAGAAAGTCAAGCGTGGCCAGGGGGCCCATGTTGGGACTACAGCGTTGCGTCAGCATATGCAGCGTCGCCATTCGGTGGCCTGGGAAAACCGTGATAAAGATACGGCGGTTCTGCCTGCCCCAGCCCCCGCTCCATCACCCGCTCCGTTACTTGCTCCGTCACCCGACGTCAATCGCCCTCTATCAGCCAGTCAAGGCTCCAACACCTCTGCTGAGGGGAGTTGTCACTCGTTGGCATCTTCCGCTCGTTCAGATGCTCCTTCTCCTGCTACTCCTCTTCACGGATTCCGTCAGCAGTCTTTCTTGGAATCCGTTTCCAAGAGACAACAGTTTGCGAGCACGCACCCGACGGTGCAGAAGCTGAACGTCCTCCTGTCCAAGTTGCTGGTGCTGCAGTCCCTCCCTTTCCAAGTGGTGGACTCAGCACCTTTCCGAGAAATGATGGCTTGTGCCGAGCCGCGGTGGAGAGTGCCAAGCCGTCATTTCTTCGCCAAAAAGGCAGTGCCAGCCCTGCATTCACATGTAGAAGAGATGGTGGGCCAGTCTTTGAGCATGTCGGTCTCTGCCAAAGTGCACGGCAGCGCCGACGTGTGGAGCTGTAACTACGGTCAGGGACAGTACATGTCATTTACGGCCCACTGGGTGAACGTGGTGCCGGCACAGCCGCACCAGCAACTTGGACAGGTCACGCTGCTTTTGCCTCCACGTTTGCACGTCCTTGGTCCAGCAAAGATGTCCGCCTCTACCACCTCTTCTTCCGCCGTGTCCTCAGCCGCCACCCCCGTGCCAAGTCCCATTACCCAACCGGCATATCACATGTGCAGGGCGCAACGGTGTCACGCTGTGCTGCACCTGGTATGCCTTGGCGAACGTAGTCACACAGGGGAGGAACTTCTGAGTGTAATGAACAGAGAAATCGACAGATGGCTGTCTCCGCGCAAACTGAAAATCGGAACCATGTTGACCGACAACGGAAAGAACATGGTGTCTGCTCTGCGTCAAGGAAGGTTGTGCCATGCGCCATGCATGGCTCACGTGTTCAATCTGGTTGTCAAGCGGTTCCTAAAATCCACCATCCCACTGCAAGACATCCTTAAAAGGTCACGTAAACTTTGCATGCATTTCAGCCATTCCTACACCGCAAAGCACACCCTCCTTGAGCTGCAGCGGCAGAACGGAATTCCACAGCATCGCCTGATCTGCGACGTTGCAACAAGGTGGAATTCAACCCTACATATGTTAGACCGCCTGTCAGGGCTCCCAGGTGTGACCAGAGGTGTGTGACTGATGCAGGGAAACGCAGACTACAGATATGTGATAAACAATATAATTTATTAACACTAACAATACAAACATAAACGCAGTGCAATACTAAACATAATACAGTGCAAACAAACCAAACCAGCCACCCACAGATAACAGTACATACAAGCAAGCGTCGTCAGGCAGGCCGGGTCAATATCAATTGGGCAGGTAGGTACAGGGGAGCAAGCAGAGAATGGTCGGGGTCACAGGCCAGGTTCAGCAGGTAGCAAGCAGCGTAGTACAGAGGGTCAGGCAGAGGGATGGTCAGGGTCACAAGCCAGGGATCAGAGCAGGAGAAGTCAGCAGCAGTTCAGATCAGGCAGGGTCAGCAAAGGGACAGAAACAGGATGCAGGACAGATACAGGGCCCAGGACAAACACAACACCAAGGCAGAGTCTGCAAGTCTGGCCATCCCTTAAATACACCAGTATCATCAGTTCCAGGTGTTAGCTGGCTGAAAGGTTGAGTCTCTGATTGCTGGGAGCACCCGCTGGCCAGCCCTGGTACTGCAGATCAAAAGGCAGGTGAGTCCCACCATTGCTGGCCAGTCCATTCCTAACAGTACCCCCCCCTCAAGGAGCGGCCTCAGGACGCTCCAAACAGTCCTAGCTGGGCAAAATGTTCCACCCGCCCGAGTCTGGCAACTGGCGGGATATCAAAGACTGGCACACCGGGCAGGACTCCGGGCAGCGGCACACCGGGCTTGACTCCGGGCAGAGGCACACCGGGCAGAGGCACATCGGGCAGAGGCACATCAGGCAGGACTCCGGGCAGAGGCACATCGGGCAGGACTCCGGGCAGAGGCACATCGGGCAGGACTCCGGGCAGAGGCACATCGGATTACCAGGCGAAGCAGCAGGCAGCGGGCCCCCGGGCGGAGCGGCAGGCAGCGGGCCCCCGGGCGGAGCGGCAGGCACCGGGCCCCCCGGGCGGGGCGGCAGGCACCGGGCCCCCGGGCGGGGCGGCAGGCACCGGGCCCCCGGGCGGGGCGGCAGGCACCGGGCCCCCGGGTGGGGCGACAGGCACCGGGCCCCCGGGGGGGGCGGCAGGCATCGTGCCCCCGGGCGGGGGGGCGACAGGCATCGTGCCCCCAGGCGGGGCGGCGGCGCGCCGGACCCCCAGGCGGAGCGACAGGTCTCGGGCCCTCAGGCGGAGCGGCGGGCGCCGGACCCCCAGATGGAGCGACAGGTCTCGGGCCCTCAGGCGGAGCGGCGGGCGCCGGACCCTCAGGTGGAGCGACAGGTCTCGGGCCCTCAGGCGGAGCGGCGGGCGCCGGACCCCCAGGCGGAGCGACAGGTCTCGGACCCTCAGGCGGAGCGGGGCGGGCGCCGGACCCCCCCAGGGGAGCGACAGGTCTCGGGCCCTCAGGCGGAGCGGCGGGCGCCGGACCCCCAGGAGGAGCGACAGGTCTCGGGCCCTCAAGCGGAGCGGCGGGCGCCGGACCCCCCAGGCAGAGCGACAGGTCTCGGGCCCTTATGGCGGAACGACAGGTCTCAGGCCCCCAGGCGGGCTCGGCGGGCACCGAGTCACCAGGCACAACAGTGGGCTCCGAGTCAACTGGGATGACCGCTGGCACCTGGGTCAGACATTGGATCGTCTGGCTGGACAGCGGCATCGGGTCACCAGGCATCAGGTCATTTGGCTCGACAGCGGGCACCGCGTCATCTGGCAAGGCAGTGGGCTCCGAGTCAACAGGCACGACAGTGAGCACCGGGTCATCAGGTACCGGATTGTCTGTCTCGACAGGGGCATCGGGTCACCAGGTAACTTACAGCGGGCACTGGGTCACCAGGCCATCAGGTCATTTGGCTTGCCAGTGGCACCGCATCATTGGCAAGGCAGTGGGCACCGGGTCACCAGGCAATTGGATCGTCTGGCTCGACATAAGCGGGGGCATCGGGTCACCAGGTATGACAGCGGGCTCTGAGTCAATTGGCACGAACAGCGGCACCGATCAGGTACCGGATCGATTATCTGGATCAACAGCGGGCATCGAGTCAACTGGCCCAATAGAAGGATCGTCAGGCTGGATCAGTTCATCATGCTGGGTAGAAGGCATCAGGCTGAGTAGAGGCTTCAGGCCGAGCAGAGGCTTCAGGCCGAGCAGAGGCTTCAGGCCGAAGAGAGGCATCAGGGCGAATCTAGAGGCACCAGGCTGAACCACGGAAGGCAGGTTCTCAGACGGCAGGTTCACCCGGTTTGGGATACTGGCAGTGATCGGTACTGGTTTGGTAAGATTTTCGCTTTTTTCTGGTTTTAAAACTAACTGGAGCACTGCAAGTAAACCAGGTCTGCAAACAAATGAAAAAAGGCAGCTGAGAACAGGAGAAGAGCTGGAGGATTGGAAACAGAAGAGGGAGCAAAAATGTTGCTACAGAGGGCTTTTTTACAGGGTTAAAGGCAGGATTAGGTTGCAGCGAGTGGGAACAGGGTACTGACATGCCGGTAGATAGCAGGGCAGGAGGAGCCTGTTGGGAATGCAGGAATAGAGTTTTGAGGAAATAGATTAGAAGCAGGACTGGGTCTTTGTAAGCTGACTGAGGCTGGGTGGCAACAAATCTGTCCATGTCTGCAGTATGGGTTGAATCAAAGCTGAGCTTACACAAAGCCTGTCTGGTCAATGACTGCACTGCAGTTTAATACAATCTCTTAGTGTCTGTGGTGAACATGTGGAATAAGCTCCAGAAAGTAACCCACATCATCCTCTATAACCACACCAAGGACTCTACCTGGTCTGCACTAAAGGGGCATAAAAAAAAATTTCAATCCCCTGCAAAATTGGGGGTAACCAGATGAAACCAACTCAGCACAAACCTCAATCAATGGCTGCACCAGACCTCAGAGAACTCTGTGCCCTGATCTACAGAACATGAGCGAAGCCGTATACATTCTAAGCAGTTCATCCGGGGATACTCACTTCAGAGTTTGATAAGCAATACTCCCTGTCATCAAACACTAGCAGATAGTAAATACTCAACCAAATTCATCCCCCAAGATCCATTTCCCATCAACAAGCCAAAGATGGCTTCCCTGTGCAGCCACTTCTGGTCAGGATTGGCCTTGGTGTAATGTCGGGCTCCCCAGGGTGACCAGAGGTGTGTGACTGATGCAGGGAAACGCAGAGACTTCAGATATTGTGAAACAATATAAAATTTATTAAAAACAAAAACAATACAAAATAAACGCAGTGCAATACTAAAACATTAATACAGTGCAAACAAACCAAATGCAAACAACCACCCACAGATAACAGTACATACAAGCAAGCGTCGTCAGCAGGCCGGGGTCAATATCAATTGGGCAGGTAGGTACAGGGGGAGCAAGCAGAGAATGGTCGGGGTCACAGGCCAGGTTCAGCAGGTAGCAAGACAGGCGTAGTACAGAGGGGGGTCAGGCAGAGAGGGATGGTCAGGGTCACAAGCCAGGGATCAGAGAGGAGAGAGTCAGCAGCAGTTCAGATCAGGCAGGTCAGCAAGGGACAGAAACAGGATGCAGGACAGGATACAGGGCCCAGGACAAACACAAACACCAAGGGCAGAGTCCTGCAAGTTGGCCATCCCTTAAATACACCAGTATCATCAGTTCCAGGTGTTAGATGGCTGAAAGGTTGAGTCTCTGATTGCTGGGAGCAGACCGCTGGCCAGCCCTGGTACTGCAGATCAAAAGGCAGGTAAGAGTCCCACCATTGCTGGCCAGTCCATTCCTAACACCTGCCTTTACGAACAGCGAAAGGCCATCACCGAATTTCCTGATGTTACAAGCAGGATTATTAAAGGTACTCCCTGTGTAACTTAGATGTCAGCCATTGGCAGCTCATGCGTGACACCTGCTGCTTGCTCCAGGCCCTTTGAGGAGGCCCACCGCTATTCGTGAGTCGGCAAGGACTAAATGGGATGAACGACGTCATTCCTCATGTTGCAAACGTCCTGGAACAAATGCTGTTCACAATGGCTGGTCAGGGTGCGGTAGAACGTGCGGCGCACAGATCAACAACGCCACATGACCCCTGTGGGGGCAGGACAGGAAGAAGAGGAGGAGGTAGAGGAGTGGACATTGTGTGCTCAGGAATTATTGAGTGAAATGGGTGGTTTTTCCACTCAGCGGACAGGAGGGAGAGGCAGGAGCATCTTGGTAGAGGAGGAGGAGGAGGAGTCACAGAGGACCCAGACGCACCGTGGCAGTATGCTGTGGAGGATGGAGGCAGGGAGTCCCTAGCTCACTCCTTGGCACAAAATGGCCCATAGCCAAGGCTCGGTTGCTTTTGCGTAGCGACCAGCCGAATAATAACCATAAGACAGAGGGATGACTTTTTGGCCTGTCCACCTTGTGGGACTCCACGATCTACCGTTCAATAAATGGTGGACTTTTTCACACCTGCTGAGAGGGAGGCCAGAAAAAATAAATATAAAAATAAATTATAAAGTACTATACAAACCACCTATGTAGTCAGATGGTCTCTTCTGCCTTTCTGCGCCAATGTCCATTCCTCAACACTGTGGGCCCTGTGCGCTCGTTGCGTTCCGCTGCCATGGCAGCAGGGGAGGGGTGGGTGGTAGCAAGCAGTGGCAGCTCCACCACAAGCCGGCTGCCTCAGTATGCATTCGATGATGAGTAGCTTTCTTCCCCACGCAG